TTTGGATATTTGCTTTCTCCTTAGCTCAACAGACACCCATAGGCCAACAGAAATTTGATTATTGGCACACTGTGACCCTAACAAGATGAGCTGGACAAAATCTTTCCCTTCCCCCACTTTCCTTATGCAGTTCAGGAACAGATTAGAGTCAGGAACAGATTCCAAAGTAACAAATCTGTAGACATTTCCTTCCTTGGTTGCTAAACTAAGCAAAGTTAATGGACAACTAATCCGGTTTGCCTACAAGGACTATCTGTTTATTTGCTGGGCTTTCCCACCCCTTGTTTTCTACCAATGATTATAAAAGACTGCCATCAGAGCTGGTACCTCTGAGAGCTGTAGGACTGTCACTCAGGGCAATGGATCCTTGGGGACTCACCACAACTGCCCTCGTGGCTTGTGTTCTTTTGCTGATCTTTTTTTCTCTATGGAGTCAAGGATTCAAAAAGGGGAAACTCCCACCAGGTCCCACTCCTCTTCCTTTTATTGGCAACATCCTGCAATTAGATTTCAAGAACATCACCACATCATTCTCACAGGTAAAGGGACTGGATTTAGGGTTCGGATTCTAGCTGCTTGGTTTGTGGAGGGAGACACAAAGGCTTCAAATGAATAAGTGAATCAGAACACATGGTGATTTAGAGTCCTAGGTCATGGATGGTGTGAGTCAAGGACTCTATGAGTGAGATTTCCATAAGCAATGATGTCAGGCATGCATTGATTGTTTTGTCAAAACTTTGATAGCAGAAGATGAAATTCAACAACAGGACCAGAGCTTTACCTTTTGTAATGCATTATACTAGGCTCTGGGGATACAAAGAACAAAAAAAAATCATTCAATTAATGAGAACTTCTTCTGCACCTACTATGTACCAGCTACTGTGCCAGACACATTAGAGAAACAAATGATGAATAAAAGTTTCTCCTTGAAAGGAAATAGTTCCTGTCCTCCAGGAGTTTATGTTCTACTAGAGAGATACAACAAATTCATAGATAAGTAAGTATAAAAAAATAGAGGACAGAGAAAGCATTAGTAATTGGGGGACCTAAAAACGTTTCAAGTAGGACAGAACACCTGAGCTGGACCTTGAAGGGAGTAACGGATTCTGATTGGAAGAGATGGAGGGAATGAATTCCAGGCATGTGAGACAGTCTGGGCAAAAGCAAAGAGTTGGGAGATAATACAGCTAGCAAGATGGTTTGGCAAAAACATGAAGTTTGGGCAGGGACAGCTTTACACCCCTTGCCAGCAGGAAGCAGTTTCAGAAGCCAAGACCTTCACCCCTTACTCCAAAAGAATTTGGGTCCCATTTGTTTGAGGGGGGAATGATGAGGATGGGATCTAGACCCCCAAAAAGGAAAAACCCTGGACTTTCCCACGTGGCCAAATCTCTGGCATTTGCCTGAGGCTATAATCTCATCAACTAGCCTTTCATTGTGGCTACACCCAATCTCCCAATTCTGTTATCCTTAACCTAGCCTAGCCCTCCCTAAGTTCCCCAGTCATTTCCCACACTTAATCCCACCTAGGCTCCTTGTCCACATCCCAGGAGTCCTGTTCACCCCAACTTACTGGCCACTCCCATTCAGATCCACTCCTAGATCCCTCCCACAGTCTGTCTGTATATAAGGTCCATCTTTTCTCCAGTAAAGTGCTCAGATCCTTAAAATCTAGCCAATAGCTTACTAATGTTCAGACTCCTGAAGAGTCTGCCCAATATGATGGATGTTCTAATAAACCTTCTCTTCGGCCAAAAAAAAAACCATAGCCCAACCCAAATGGCAAAAGAGGTCCAAAAAGCCCAAGAGGAAAAGAATGCCTTATAAAGCAAAATTGGCCAAATGGAAAAGGAAGTCCAAAAGCTTACTATAGAAAATACTTCCTTAAAAATTAGAATGGAGCAATTGGAAGCTAGTGACTTTATGAGAAATCAAGACTCTGTAAAACATATTCAAAGGAATGAAAAAACAGAAAAAAATGTGAAATATCTCATTGGAAAAACAACTGACCTGGAAAATAGATTCAGGAGAGAGAATTTAAAAAGTATTGAGCTATCTGAAAGCCATAATCCAAAAAAGAGCCTAGACATCATCTTTCAAGAAATTATCAAGGAAAACTGCCCTGATATTGTCGAAGCAGAGGGCAAAATAGAAACTGAAAGAATCCACCTATCACTTCCTGAAAGAGATCCACAAAGGGAAACTCCTAGAAATATTGTAGCCAAATTCCAAAGTTCCCAGGTCATGGAGAAAATATTGCAAGCAGCCAGAAAGAAACAATTCAAGTATTGGGGAAACACAATCAGGATAACATATGATTTAGCGGCTTCTCCATTAAGGGACCTCAGGGCTTGGAATATGATATTCTGGAGAGCAAAGGAGACAGGATTAGAACCAAGAATCACCTACCCAGAAAAACTGAGCATAATCCTTCAGTAGGAAAAGTGGAAATTAAGTGAAATAGAGGACTTTCAAGCATTCTTGATGAAAAGACCAGAGCTGAATAGAAAATTTTACTTTCAGATACAAGACTCAAGAGAAATGTGAAGAGGTAAACAGGAAAGATAAATCATAAGAGACTTATTATGGATGAACTGTTTACATTCTGCATGGAAATATATTTGTAACTTATGAGTCCTTTCTGAGTATTAGAGTAGTTGAAGGAAAAATTTTATGTATGTAGATAAATAGATAGATAGATAGATAGATAGATAGATAGATAGATAGATAGATAGATAGATAGATAAATAGATAGATAGAGGGTACAGGGTGAGTTGAAGATGAAGGGGTGATATCTGGAGAATAAAACTAAGGGGTGAGAGATGATTATACAGGGAGAAGGAGAAAGGGAGAGGTAGAATGGATAAATTATCTCACATAATATAGACAAGAAAAGGCTTTTACAGTGGAGGGGAAGTAGGGGAAGGTGAGAGGGAATGAGTAAATCTTATTCTCATTGTATTTGGCTTAAGGAGGGAATAACATACACACTCAATTGGGTATGGAAATCTATTTTACCTTACAAGAAAATGCGAGGGGGAAGGAGACAAGAGAGCAGGAGGATGATAGAGGGGAGGGTAGATTGGGGGAGGGGGTAATCAGAAGCAAACACTTCTAAGGAGGGACAGGGTTAAAAGAGAGAATAGAATAAATAGGGGAGGGTGGGATAGGATTAAGGGAAATATACTTAGCTTTTCACAACATGACTACTATGTAAGTGTTTTGCAAAACTACACAAGTATGACCTGTATTGAATTGCTTGCTTTCTCAATGAGGGTAGGTGGGGAGGGAGAAAGAGAGAAAATTTGGAACCCAAAGTTTTAAAAACAAATGTTAAAAAAATGTTTTCACAAGCAACTGGGAAATAAGATATGCGGGCAATGGGATATAGAAAACTATCCTGTCCTACAGGAAATTTGAGGGGGAAGGGGATAAGAGAAGGGGGGGCAGATTAGGAGAAGGGGTATTCAGAATGCATGCCTTTTTGGGGTGGGGAGAAAGATGAGATGCGGATAAAATTTGGAACTCAAAATTTTGTAGGAGTGAATGTTGAAAACTAAAAATAAATTAACTAAGAAAAATAAAAGGAGTAGCAAGTTGTAAAAAAAAATCATTTATTAAGTACCTACTACGTGCTAAGTATTGTAGAGACAACAGAGAAAGATGTCAGCTGCAGGTCAGTCAGAAAGAACTTCTGCCCCTTAGGGCAAATTAAGAAAACCGATGGTAATGTGGCACATTAATGTTAATTCCACTAATAAACATTGTATCTTTTCTCATATTGAACCATTGGAAAGTGCTTAGAACTTTGATAGTGGGACTTCCCTAGTCTTCAGTAGCTATGACTTTAGCACCTACAGAAGAAGTTGCCAGGGTTTTGCTTCCACGGCTGATGATGGGGGAGGCTGGGATGGAAGTAGGAACAGTGGTCTGCTGGGCTGGGCTGCCACTCACAGGAATCTTGGGCTTACTTGCCTGCTAGGGTCAGTCGCTTAGTAATTGGTAGTGGTGGTAACAAGGAAGGTGGGTCCCTTCTCCACAGTGATTGCTCCTCATTGAAAGGTTGAGTGTTTGGCCTAGGTTGGAAGCAGAGCCAATGGTCTAGGGGAAGGCATCATTTAAAAGAAAGAAATGGTCAATCACAAAGGCTCTTGAGTAGTAATTCTGCTTTATCACCATCAGTTTCCAAGGGAACTTGATAATAGTTTGACTTCTCTGTCACATTCCATCTTCTCTTTCCCTCCAAGTGACTTGCTTTGTTAGCTAGTTTGGGTGTCTGTTTCACTAGCCTATTTGAATAGTCTAAGCAAGTGGAGATGAGGGTCTTAAATGGGTCAGTGAACAAGTGAGGAGACAAGACAATAAATGTTGGAGACATGAAGATAGAATCTGTGACTTGAAAGCAATCAATTGGATATGTATAGTAAGTAAGAATGAAAAGTCAAATATAACAATCATCCTACCTTACCCATGCCCCTGGGACTTTTCTGCAGGGTCAACCAGTCCAACTTTTTCAGGGCTAGATGTTAGTTTAGTTTTTTCTAAATAAAGTGATTTTGTTTTTTTAAAAAAAAGTATAATTATCTTAGGTTCCTGACTCCATTTCACCTACACTTAATTCCAGATTCAGCATCACATAATTTTATGGGAGACCCATTCTTTCTATCTCCCTTTACAACCACAAAAATTTTCTCCAATGTGACATATTAGACTTGTGGACTAACCTTTTGACCATAGGTCATAGGAAGCTCTTTATTGATTTTAGACCTGTGAGCAAACAAATTCTACCCACTCTGGCCTCCCCAAAATTTATCCCTTGGTGCGAGAGGGGTATCAAGAATGTTGGAGTCATTTCTTCAGCACCCATGCTTCTCCCTTCCTCTCAGACATATATAATCTTGACTCAAAAGCAAACTTAGAAAAGCTGCACTAACCAGCTGTAACACAGAGTTATTTCCCTATTTATTCAGTTGGCTTCTTTATTATGGGATCCTAGAGTCAAGTTAAGGTTCTTTCCTACCTGAAAGTCCTGAGCCATAAAACCCCAAAATTTAGGGTGCTTTGATTCCTTTCCCTGACCTTAAAGCCTTCATGCTACATGACATCTGCCTTCTTCCTATCTCTCTTTTTAACTCAAGTCTTCAGACTGTCCCTCCATATTTTTGTTTTTAA